AATAGGAAAAAAAATATCCTTGGGTGAGGATCACAAAGAAGGAGGGTATGGGGAATAAACCAAAGAATTTATATGCTATATACATAACCAATGGACATGGACAACAGTGTGAGGAGAGGCAGGAGGAGGGTGTGAGCAGGGAGGAGGGAGTCAATAGGGGAAAAAGGAGGAACATCTGTAATACATTCAACAATAAAGTTAAAAAAAAAAATCCTCACCCAAGGATATGTTTAAATTATATAAAAGATTTAAATTTCTGAACTAGAAAAAAATAACCTGCTAGAATACCAACAATAAAAACCATGAAGACATAGTGAAAGTTTAAAATCAAATGATAAATTATGACCAAAGCATACATAGCAAGTATGTAAGACAAAGGAATAATACTCTAATATAAAAACACTTTGAAAAAAAAGAACATTACAGTGTTAAAACAAAGAGGTATTCAGAGTATACTAATTAAATATGAATAACCTTTTTTTAAAAAAACTAAAATGTTTAACCTTACCAGTAATAAAAAATTTTTTAAAAAACTCAAACTCTTAATATTTTCACTAAAAAGAATAGCAAACACTGTTTTAACAGTGATAGTACATAAGGAGATTAATAAGTGATAAGGTTATAAATCTCACATATTACTAATGTAGTATAAATCAGAAACTGCATTCTAGAGGACTATTTCACACAAAATACTGTTGGTATGTACATGCCGAACTTCAATGATAAGGGGTTCCTTAATTAACAGTTTACCGAAACTAACAAAACTCTGTATTACATGCTATCAACTAAAAATAACAGTAAAAAATATAATTTATTGACACAAACAATGTTCAGGTTAATAATTTTCAAAAACATACAAACAGCCCTGGCCGGTTTGGCTCAGCGGTTAGAGCGTCAGCCAGAGAGACCCGGGTTCAGTTCCCGCTAAGGGCTCGTACCCCGGTTGCAGTTTGTCCCCGGCCCTGGTTGGTCAACCAGGGTGTCAACCACTTGATGTGTCCCTTTCACGTCGATGTTTCTCTCTCTCTCTCTCTCTCTCTCTCTTCCTCTCTATCTGAACAAAAAAAATGGAAAAATGTCCTCGGGTGAGGATAAAACATACAAAACAGTATAATCAATATATCCAAAAAATTTTGTAAGTATATGTAAAAATTCATACAAAAAATCTAGAAGGATTTAAATGAAACGATTTAGGATGATTATCTTGCATTTTTCTACTGATTTCTCTATATGTTCACATTTGTAAATTAGTTTTTATTGGGGTAACATTGGTTAATAAAATTATATAGATTTCAAGTGTACAACTCCATAAAACATCACCTGTATAGTGCATTGAGTGTTCACAACCCAAAGTCAAGTTTCCTTCACTCACCATATTTGACCCTCTTTACCCTTTCCCACCATCCCCCCCAAATCCCTTTCCCACTGGTAGCCACCATTATCATGGTATCTATGAGTCTTTGTCTGTCTTGTTTGATCGTTTAGTTGCTTTCAGTTTTATATCCCACATGCGAGTGAAATTATATGCTGCTTATCTTTTTCTGCCTGATTTATTTCCTTGGCACAATATTCTCAAGATCCATTTGTTGTTGTAAATTACAGTATTTTATTTTTTTCTTACAGCTGAATATTATTCCATTTTATACATATATAAAAATAAATATGTGTGTGTGTGTGTGTGTGTGTATAAAACATAAAAACACATCTTCTTTATCTAATCATCTAGTGAAAGACACTTTGGTTGTTTCCATGTCTGGGCCACCATGAATAATGCTGCAATGAACTTATGGGTACATATATCTTTATAAATAAATGCTCTCAAATTTTTCGGGTAGATATCGAGAAGAGGGATTGCTGGGTCATATAGTAACTCTATTCTTAATTTTTTAAAGGAATCTCAATACTTTTTTTCACAGTGCTTGTACCAGTTTAACTTCCTATCAGCAGTGTACAAGGATTCCACCACCTCTCCAACACTTATTACTTGTCTTGTGGATAATAGCCATTCAAACAGGTGTGAGGTAGTATGGAATTGTGGTTTTGATTTGCATTTCCCTAACAGCCAGTAAAATTTACATCTTTTCATATATCTATTGGCCATTTCTATGTCTTCTTGGGAAAAGTTTCTGTTCAGATCCTCTGCCAATTTTTTAATTGGATTGCTTGTTTTTATTATTGAGTTGTACTGAGTTCTTTATATATTTTGGACATAAACCCCTTTATCGGAGGTGTTGTTTGCAGATATCTTCTCCCATTCGGTGGGCTGACTTTTTGTTTTGTTGGTTTCATTAGCTGTGTAGAAGCTTTTTAATTTGATATAGTCCCATTCATTTATTTTTTGTTTTTAATTCCCTTGACTTTCAGGTCAAATTCATAAAATCCTCTCTAAGACCAAGTCCATAACTTTGGTACCCACGTTTTCTACTCTGTATTTTATCGTTTCAGGTCTTATATTTAGGTCTTTGACCCATTTTGAGTTAAATTTTGTGAATGATGACACATAGCAGTCTAGTTTCACTATTTTGCATGTGAATTTCCAATTTTCCCAGCACCATTTATTGAAGAGACTTTCTTTTCTCCCTTGTATGATTTTGGTTCCTTTATCAAAATTTTTTTGCCCACACATATATGGGTTTATTTCTGGGCTCTCCATTCTGTTCCACTGGTCAGTGTGCCTGAGTATTGTAGTATAATCTGAAGTCACAGAGTGTGGTATCTCTGGCTTTGTTCTTTCTTCTCAGGACTGCTATGGCTATACAAGGACTTCTACAGTTCTATACAAATCATGTTCTATTTTTTAAAAATTCCACTGGAATTTTGATGGGGATTGCATTAAAATCTGTATATTGCTTTTGGTAATATGGCCATTTTAACTATGTTGATTTTTCCAATCCATGAAAATGGAATATCTTTCCCTTTCTTTGTATCTTCTTCAATTTCTTTTAATAATGTCTTGTAGTTTTCAACATATAGGTTCTTCAGATCATTTGTTAAGTTTATTTCTAGGTATTTTATTCTTTGGTGCAACTGCAAAAGGAATTTTTCCTTTTCTTTTTCTGAAATTTCATTGTTAGTTTCATTGTTAATTTCATATAAGAACACAATCTATTTCTGTACACTGATTTTATATCCTGCAACTTTACTGTATTTGTTTATTGTTTCTAATAGTTTTTCAATGGAACTCTTATTTAAGGTTTTCTTTTTTTTTTTAATCCTCACCCGAGGACATTTTTCCATATTTTATTCAGACAGAGTGGGAGGGAGGGAGAGAGAGAGAGAAACATCAACGTGAAAGGGACACATCGAGTGGTTGCCACTCACACGACCCAACCAGGGCTGGGGACAAACTGCAACCGAGGTGCATACCATTAGCAGGAACCGAACCCGGGTCTCTCCGGACCACAGGCTGATGCTCTAACCGCTGAACCAAACCGGCCAGGGCTTATTTAGGGTTTTCTATAGAAAGAATCATGTCATCTGCAGAAAGTGACAATTTTACTTCTCCATTCCCAATTTAGATGCCTTTTATTCCTTTCCCTTGCCTGATTGCTCTGGCCTGGTCTTCCAATACTGTGTTGAATAACAGTGGTGAGAGTGGGCACCCTTGTTTTGTTCATGGTCTTAGAGGAAAAATTTTCAATTTTTCAACACTGAGGGCCTATCATATATAGTCTTCATTATGTTGAGGTACTTTCCTTCTATACCCATATTACTGAGAGTTTTAACCATAAATGGATGTTATATCTTTTCAAATGCTTTTTCTGCATCTACTGATATGATCATATAATTTTTACCCTTTATTTTGTTAATGTCACACTGATCGATATATATGTTAGACTATCCTTGAGCCACTATAATAAACCCTACTTGATCATAATGTATTATCTTAATATATTTTAATTTCACACACTATACTTTTTGAAATGTCCAAATGTTCATAGCCTTTTAGAGAGATTCTGTTGGTGTGTATATGCCAAACATCAAATGAGACACTTCAACAATAAAGGGTTCCTTAATTAAAGTGCAGTTTATCAAAACTAAGAATACTCTGTATGGCAAAATATAATTTATTGACACACAAAGATGTTCAGGTTAACAACTGTCCAAAAGAAAGACCACACACACACACACACACACACACACAGTATAATCAATATACTCTAAAAGTATATTGAATGAGATTTAGGATAATTTTTGTCTTTCATTTTTCTATTTGGTTTTCAGTATTTTCAGATTTTTTAAATATTAATAATCTGCATTATAAATGTTTAATGAAAATTTTCTAAAACCTTAGAATTGGCTGCAGTAATAGTTTCTCCCCCAGATGAACTAAATCAACAGGTACCTTAAATAAATGGTAACACTAAAAGGCACATTAGGTAATAGAAAAGTCATCTAACATGCAAAAGAGAATGGAACAATAACATATATGAAATAAAAAGCATTTATTGGGGGGGGGGGAAGCAAATGTTAACTAAAGTTTTTAAAAAGCTAACAAATATCCTATGGTGGTGGTAGAAAGTAATTTGAAGAGGGAAGAGGAGCAAGTAATATTCTACAAAGGGATTACTTAATATTCTACAAAGGGATTACTTTTTAAGAAAGGATGTATGATATCATAATCAATATTATACTAAATAACAATTAATGCAAATTTAACAGAACCTTGATGTCTGAAAGAACACAAAATGTCAGTAATTCTTAAAGGATAAATCCATAAGGACTAAAATGTCATGTAAATGTCAGAATACTAAATGCCTACGTTAGTATTAAAGGTAATATAGTTTTGTTTATTTATTTGTTTTATACTCCTGTGACCTTAGTAATGTATTTTAATCATTGTAGTTTACCATAGTAATTATACTTTGAATTTTGTAATGTAGGCCTATAATGAAATAAAGTACAAAAAAAAAAAAAAAAAAAAACACCTCCTTTACACTTCCCAGCTTCAAAACCAAAAAAATTATATTCAAACATCAATAAAATAATATCCACTGTACCTTATTATAACGATCATGTGGAACAGACTGTAAAACGATTGGTTCCATTGTAGAAACATTGGCAAATTGTACCTCTGGAATATAAAGGGCACAAACCACATGAGCCCAACCTAAAAATAAATAAATAAAATTAACATCATTTACCAGTTTGCAATAAAGTTTTTCAATGATAAATAAAATCAGTAACTTTCTAAAGAGATCCCTCAAATGTCTACTTAAGCAAATGTACAACAAAATAACAAATTCTCATTATTGACCGAATAGTCAAACCACTAATGATAAAGCTCTCTTAATCATTTCTCTCGATTCTGGCACTGACTGACACTTCTTATATAATACAGATCAGCCCTGGCTACTGGGGCTCAGCAGTTAGAGCAGGTTTGATTCCCAGTCAAGGGCATGTACCTGGGTCAGGGTCATGCAGGAGGCAACTAATCAATGTGTCTCTCTCACATCGATGTTTTTCTCTCTCTCTCTTCTTCCTCCTCTCCCCCTCTTCCACTCTATCTAAAAAATAAAATAAAATAAAATAAAATAAAATAAAATAAAATAAAATAAAATAAAATAAAAATCAATGGAAAAATATCCTCTGGTGAGGACTAAAAAACTTTTTTTTCAGATCAACACTTCTTCTGAGAACCACTGTAAAAATAAGAATTTTTATAATTGAATACCTAAAATAAAAAATTTAATATTTCACCTTAAATGTCAACATTAAATTTTTTACTTTTATATTAATGTCATTATTATTATTTTTTTTCCCCCTCACCCGAGGACATTTTTTCATTTTTTTGTTCAGGTAGAGTGGGAGGGAGAGAGAGGAACAGAGAGAGAGAGAGAAACATCGACATGAAAGGGACACATCGAGTGGCTGCCACCCGCACAACCAACCAGGGCCGGGGACAAACTGCAACCGAGGTATATGCCCTTAGCAGGAACCGAACCCGGGTCTCTCAGGACCGCAGGCCGATGTTCTAACCGCTGAGCCAAACCGGCCAGGGCTTAATGTCATTATTTTTAAACTGATATTTTACTAGTACTGGCATTATTTTAATATTTCACTTAAAATATTCCAACAATTGATATTAAATGTTAATATTTCTTTTAATTTTCAAAATGTGCCTGACGATATCAAAGAGCTGATGTGACAGTGAGAAATTAATGATTCAAAATTGCTAAAGGATGAAAGTACAGGCTGGTGAGTACAGCTTTGGCTACTTTTTTTTAAACTGATTTTTTAGAGAGAGAGAGGGAGAAGCATGGATGTGAGAGAGAAACATCGATCAGCTGCCTCCTACACACCCCACCCTCAGGATCCAGCCCAAAATCAGGTCATGTGCCCAGACCAGGAATCCAACCGGGACGTCTCAGTCCATGGGAGGACGCTCAATTCACTGAGCCACATCAGCCAGGTGCTTTTGGCTACTGTTACCACACAGGGGACATTTGCCTATTTTAGAGAAAGCAGCTGAGAGGGTGAAAGGTGCTCGTGACAAACTCAGAAGGCTGGAAGCACAGAATTTTATGTTCACAGACAACCAAGGGAGAGGGACTAGTAAACCTTTACCCCCTTTCAGCTACAACACTGAAGGGCCGCAAGCAGGAGTAACAATAAACTAAAAATACACAGGTCCTCCATGACACTGCAGCTGGGCTTTGATCACTTCAAACTCTGAAATCTGACTCATGTAATCCTAAATTACAAGTGCCCCCAGGTACCAGACAGAAGTAAATATACATCCTCTCCGGAGAAAAACAATGTCATCTTGACTGTAAATAATTTCAAGTATTAGTTCATTTCAGCACAATAAGAAATACCAAACACATTAGAGTCAAGACAGCATGAATGAAAACTAGCAGAACCAAGAAAATAAAAAGCAGATCTGGAGTGTGGGTTAGCCCAGACATGGCACACACCTAGCTTGTGGGACCTTAGCTCCACACAGACACAGACGCAGCCCCAGCCCCAGCCTACCGCCACTGGAGCTAGAGCCAACCCAGTGGCCAAGCCTGGCACACAGCCTAAAGAAGCAGTGTCTGAGTTGCTGCTGGCACCAGCACATATTCTACTCTTTGGTGCTAAGACTATTAGCCAGAGAAGTCTTGATGGTCCAATACTGAGCAATGCTGAATTTGTTGAGAAAGTTGGTCAGAGTAACCAGGCCTATCATAATGGATATTTCCACAGAGCTATTGTTCTATACAATGAAGGTCTGGCTGTTGACCCTCAGAACCTCACCTAATACAGCAACAGATCTGCAACATATGTATATGAAAAACCAGCAGTATGGAAGGCCCTGGACTATACAATCAAAGTTCAACTTCTCAGTCCCAAATAGCTCAAAGCATATTTCAGAGAGGGTTACCCTCTAGTACCTCAGAGGTCATTCTGATGTCCTGGCAGCCTTTACATCTGGACTGGCTGAAGACCACCTAGAGTCTGCAACTTCTAGTGGGGATAATGGAAGCTGCCGTGAAATCTCCCGTGAGAGACTCCCTCCAGCCCACTTATCAGCAGCTTCAGAAAATGAAACTGGACAAGAGTCCCTTAATGGTCATATCTATGGTTGAGCTGGAACTTCTGACAGCTGGCCTCTGTGGTTCTTAGAAGCTACTCAGATGATTGGCACCTGCAGCCTCAAAGGTTCCATTTTTTGGCCCTGAGCAGTGCTTACTGGTCCCTTGGAAACACAGAGAAAAGCACTGTATATTTGCAGCAGAATTTGGACATAGTCAAGACCTTAGGTGACCAGATAGGAGAATGCAGAGCTCATAGGAATCTAGGCTCTGCATTCTCCAAAGGAAATTACCAGAGGTTCTCACTAACCACAGGCATCAGTTGGTGCTCACCATGAAACTCAAGGATCAAGAGGTGGTATTTGAGTGCTGTTTCTTGCCTGCCTGTAATTAACTGGAAATCTTTATTTCTATATAACTCAACCCAGCCACCAGTTAATATTGATTAAAGGAATAGATAAAATCCCTAAAGGGAACTATGGAAATAAAGCATCGTTTGTTTAAGTTCAAAGTTTTAGTTGACAACTCTTCTGAAATTTAAACCAGTTAAGTGTGACCTCTGCTTATGAAGCACCTAAGGTACACAGGGCACTGAGCTGAGAGTTCAGGGTCTACATGATGTGGTAGGGTGGGGAGTCGGGTCACTCCCCTTGAGAGGCTTATGTTCTCTTTGAGACAGAGCTTTAACAGAGCAAAAATATTAAAACACTGCTGGGGCAATAAATGATAATGTTCTCTTAATCACTGCCAAGATTCTGTAATTCTAAAGGGAAACAGAGACTGGTATGGACTTGAGGAAACTTTGTGGAACAGGTGGAACTCAAGTTGGCCCCAGTATGAGGCACACAAATTGGTGTACGGGAGTTCTAAAACCTGGTTAGCATATCAATCATGTTTTGCTAAGTGATAAGATAGTTCATGCCTTTAGCAAAGATCAGGTATTTTCTACTATCTTTTTAGGTACACTTTCAGACTCCTAGTTTTTATAAAAGACCATTTTTATTAGTTTTATTCAACCATATAAGAAATACATTGCCCTGGCCGGTTTGGCTCAGCAGTTAGAGCATCGGCTAGCGGACCAGAGTCCTAGGTTCGGTTCCCACTAAGGGCATGTACCTCGGTAGTAGTTTGTCCTCGGCCCCGGATGGGGTCATGTGGGTAGCAACCACTCAATGTGTCTCTCTCACATCGATGTTTCTCTCTCTCTCTTCCTCCCTCTCTCCCTCCCACTCTATCTGAAGATAAATGCAAAAATGTCTGGGTGAGGATAAAAAAAGAAAGAAAGAAAGAAATACATGAAAATAACCAAGAGTAAACCTACCATAATACTATACCTCATAATATTTGGGGTATAATCTTTTGGTAATATAAGCAGTTATAACTGTGTATATCTACTCAAACAAAAACTAAAAATCATATTTTAATACTGTTTTATAATTTGTTTTTCTTTTTTAATATGTTTTTATTATTTTTTTAGAGAGAGAGGAAGGGAGAGATAGAAACATCACTGAGAGAGAGAAACATCAATCAACTGCCTCCTGCACGCCCCCTACTGGGGATCAAGGCTTGCATGTGCCCTGACCAGGAATAGAACCAGTACTGATCAGTCCCATGGGATGATACTCAATTCACTGAGCCACACCAGCCAGGCTACCTTGTTAATTCAACTAATTTTTAAACATTTTTTTTCAGTTTATTAAATGTCCTACTTCTAAAATAAACACATCTGTATTTTGGAGTTTCAGACACAGGCATCAAAATAAGTATGCTTATTATGTTCAAATACATATAAAACAAAATTGAAAATTTCTTCACAGAACTGAAAACTACAATAATAAACTCAATAAAAGTTCCAGAAGTAAAAACAAAAAATTTTAAAACCTCAGTGGGTAAAATCAGCAATGGTTTAGATATAAAAAGAGAATTAGAGGGCAATGACTAAACTGGTCAGAAAAAAATATCCAGAATGTTAGCACAAAACACAAAAGTATGAAAAACACAAAAGACACGAACAGTATAGTAAGCAAGCCTAACACATGTCACAAAAGCAACATTTAAAATGACAATAACGCCCTGGCCAGTTTGGCACAGCGGTTAGAGCATCGTCCCGCAGACCAGGAAGTCATAGGTTCGGTTCCCTCTAAGGGAACATACCTCGGTTGCAGTTTGTCCCCAGCCAGGGTTGGAGTTGTGTGGGTGGCAACCACTCAATGTCTCTCACATTGATATCTCTCTCTCTCTTCCTCCCTCTCTCCTTCCCACTCTGTCTGAAAATAAATGCAAAAATGTCCTCGGGTGAGGATAAAAAAAAAACAACTTTAAATGTTGGCTGGTAAATTTTCAGTGTATATAAGATTAACACCCATTAAAACTATTACAAAGATTGGGGAAAGAACAGGTATAAGATATCTATATGGTTTCAAGGTTTCTACATTTTGTGGGAAATGGTATACACAGTAGACTGAATTTATTGGTATAATAATTATAATTCCTGAATAAACCACTGCATACATATTAATATTTCTATATATTAAAATTAGTATTATTAATATGTAATTAATACTAATAATGTTAGCATTCATATTTCTATATA